AAGCACCAGTAAAGCACGACAATGAACCGGTCTCCAATGCAGTCGTATATATTTGAGGCTTAGGCGGTGGCGACCGAATACAGCACGTCGAAGAGGACGACGGCGATCTGGATCGCTTGGGCCTGGACGCCCATCTTGGAGGCCATCGCGAGGAAGCTCTGGGCGTGGGCGACATGCTCGACGGCCGGCGGCGGCAGGGGGCGCTGCGACGACCGGTGGCGTGCGAGGAACTTGCGGACGCCCTTTTGGATGCGGAGGACGCCGGCAAACCACTTTTCAAACTCGAGTATGCGCATCGACTTGAGGACGAAGAAGGACCGACGCAGCGACTCTTCCTCGTGCGAGATCATCATGCCGAGGAACTGGACCGCGACGAGGTAGCACGAGTACTCGGCCCAGAGAAAGGGCCACGGGTCGAAGTGCAGATAGTGCGACGCGAAGAAGATGAAGAGAAGGACCATCGCCCACGAGACGCGCGCGGCGTACACGAAGCGCACCTTGAAGCCCGATCGGTGCGCAAACAGAATCGCGTTGAGGAACCCCATGAAGTAGACGTTGGGCTTGGCCGAGTGCGTCACAATGAAGCTGCGGCCGACCTACCCTCCGCCATGCTAGTGCGTGAAGGACGATTCGTGCGTGTACCTGGAAGAGAAGCACCATCGTGGCACCCATCTGCAGCACGAGGACGACGGTTGCAAAGACTTGGGCTGAGCGCACGTAGCCGCCCTTGGTCTCGACGAGAGCCTCCGTTTGCTTGGTCAGCCGCTCCTTCACCGACTGGCTCGGCGGCAGCGCCCGCTTCTGCTCGAGGATCGCGATGGTAACTTGGTTGGCATCGACGTCGCTCTCGGTGCCGCTCTCGACGCCGCCGCTGGCTTTGCGCAGGAACATTTCAAAGTACTTGCGGCCGAGGATGTACATAAAGTAAAAGCTGGCCAGATACAGCGGCACGACGACCGCAAAGCGTATGATAGCTGCCATGCCGTACTCAAACTTGAAGTCCTTCATGAAGAGGAGCTTGATGTCCTGGATGCCGAGCACGACTTGCGAGAGGAAGACGCCGAGGACGGCGAACCGGATCGTCATGTAGACGTTCTCGTGGATGTCGCCGCGGTTCGGGTTCTCGTACGGGTGCGGGTCAATCACATACCACACCCGACAGAACGCATCCTCGACGTCGTAGCTCCGGAAGCTCAAACTCCACATATCGAAGAGCCGCTCCTCCGAGTAGCTCTTGCCAAAGAGGTCTAAGGGTTCGTCGTCGTCGAGGCCCGTGAACGGCAGCTTGAGCGCATAGTTGCGCCGGCGAATGAGCTCTTGTCGGTAGTGCGACACCATACCGCCGATGATCGCAATGCCGTAGTTGATCGTCTGGTAGATGATGTCCGAGATGTTGTCGTACTTCCAGACCTTGCCATTTCCGTACGGAATCGATGTGATCCAGTGCAGCGAGACGCCTTGGACGATGAGGTACGTGAAGAAGATGGTCCACCCGAGCACGCAGCTGTGCAGAAAGCGCATGCGGGTGATGCCAAAGATCGGGATGATGAGGATCATGAGCGGCAGCACCGG